TTTTATAGATGAGGAAACAAGGCTTAGAATAAATCTCTGTTCTCTCTGGCTATATGCCATACTATCTCAGAAACTGTATTTTACAGTTTAAAAGAATATCCTTGTCACTCCCAAACCCTTTCAATAGGACTGACTGGCAAAACGGGTAAGGAAAAGAGCATCCCAACAACATGGAAAAGTTTTTAAATTAGATTAGACCAGAGGTTCTTAGTTATTATTTCCAAAAAATAACCCATCCCTATTACAAAGTAATTAGAATTAGATTACTTAGGTAAATAAGGTAAATTAGAATCTTTTAATTAAGGCAGAGAAGAGATTTTTTTAAAAAGCCCGTTAGGTGATTATAGGGCACAGCCAGGGTGGAGAACTGCACTGCACCTGTAGAGAGGTATGTGGGAATAGCCATGGTCCATGTGTGAGCTGTTCTCACATCAGAATCACAGTGTTAATGTGGAGGGTGTGTGCAATAGATGTGTGTAGGTTGGTTGATTGACATCTGGAAAGAGCTTTGAGATCTGGAACATTAAGATAATGTGCATTGAAAAGTTCAAGAACTATAGAGATAAATTGTATACTAGTAAATGTACATCCTCAGCATAAGTAGAAGGTACTTAAAATTGTGCCTTAATTATGTTGGTTGGGAAATTTAAAATTCTCTGCCAACCCTTTTTTTATTCCACTATTTGTAAAAATACATCTTTATTTTAGTTATGACATCATGAACACCTTTCACAATTCAAAGTGTTATAGGGATGGAGAAAAGCCATTGACGTCACACAGTGCATGGTAGCTGTTGCTGTTTCCTTCCCTTCCATTCTTTTTTCTTCTTCTTTTTTTTTTATTGTTTAAAGTATTACAAAGAGTATTACATATGTCTCCTTCTCCTCCCCCCCACTTAAAATTCCCCCGGCCTCCCCCCCTTCCATTCTTTCTCTTGTCTTTTTATTCTTCCCTTCCTTTTTTATTTTTTTAAAATATATTTTTATTGATTTTAGAGAGGAAGGGAGAGGGATAGAGAGATAGAAACGTCAATGATGAGAGGGAATCACTGATTGGCTGCCTCCTGCATGCCCCCTATGGGGGATCCAGCCACAACCTGGGCATGTGCCCTTGACAGGGAATCAATCCTGGGACCCTTCAGTCCGCATGTCAATGCTCTATCCACTGAGCCAAACTGGTTATGGCCCCATCCCTTTTTAATCTCTTTCTTTCTCTACTCAGCAGAGAAATTTGAGAGGTAGTAATAGAGATGGAAGTGTTAATTTTATAGATTAAAAAAGGGTCAATTCTTATAGTTGATTATAGAGTTTGGTCTCCAGTTCTCATAAAAACAAAAAACCACCGGTTAAATATACTATTTGTTTAAATTTTTCCTCTTTCCGAAAAGTATCTGAAGCTGCACAGAACATTGCAGAAAATTAACAACATATAAAAATAAAAGTGGCCATAGCCAGTTTGGCTCAGTGGATAGAGCATCTGCCTATGGACTGAGGGGTCCCAGGTTTGATTCTGGTCAAGGGCACATGCCTGGGTTGTGGACTAGGTCCCTGTAGGTCCCTGGTGGAGGGTGTGCAGGAGGTAGCCAATCAATAACTCTCATCAGTGATGTTTCTATCCCTCTCTCCCTCTCTCTTCCTCTCTGAAAGCAATAAAAACAAAACCAAAAACAAAAACCATAAAAATAAAATAAAAGTAAAGTAAAGATCTTGGAAAGAGGGTGCAGCATTATCATAACCATAGGAGCTTCGCAGGATTTTGTGAATGAGTAAGAAATTTACTGTGGGCTTCCCAATAAGAGGAGAAGACGTTTACATAACGTAGTTAGCAAAAAGGAGGAAGTGTGCAGCAATTACTCAGGGATGACAAGAAACTTCCGCTTTGGGACCTTCTAGGTGACACTGTGTGTCAGGAAAGCAGCACACGCCCTTGACTACAGCTTCATAGCAAGTAGTTTCAATATTGCTGTTCCTTGTAGTTGAAGACATAATGCTAAAGCCCAGCTCAATAAGGTTGATCTTCTAAGGTTGAGATATTGGATTTTAGCTGATCTTTACAATGTATCCATTTTTTTCTATGTTGACTTTTATCATTTCCTCCTTGCTTTTCTTTAGAGACTTCTTTAAGTCAGTGGTTCTCAACCTTCCTAATGCCTCGACACTTTAATACAGTTCCTCATGTTGTGGTGACCCCCAACCATAAAATTATTTTCGTTGCTATTTCATAACTGTAATGTTGCTACTGTTATGAATCATAATGTAAATATCTGATATGCAGGATGGTCTTAGGTGACCCCTGTGAAAGGGTCGTTTGACCGCCAAAGGGGTCGTGACCCACAGGTGAGAACCGCTGGCTTAGAGTCTTCTGCTGGTGTTGTCTGGTCCTCAGGGGTGATGGGGAGCTGAATCTGAACTGAATGGGGAAAGCGATTTTTGCCAGTCAGAAACTGTTTGGGTAAACTTGAATTTCAGTTGTCTTTTTCATTTTCTTTTTGACAGCAAGCATTAATGCTTGAGGACACACTGCCACTCATTTCTGGAAAGCACCAAATATTTGTTTTTTATCTGTGAGACTCAGACAGAATCAGTTCCAAGTTGTTCCTGTATATACTAAAGATAAATATTTAAATTAAAAAAGTTTATAAATTATGTCATTTACTCCATCATCTGTGGAATTATGAATTTCTTCCTAGGGTAGATTGAAAAATTTATTGAACACTTACTTTGTAAAAGACATTACAATGAGTAATAAGTGCAGAGTAAGGGGATACATTATACATACCAGACATGGGGTAGCCCACTGTAAACTTCCAGTCTTGTTGAGAAGTGAAAATATTACGTGAAATTAATATTTTAAATTAGTTTAAAGTAGAATGTTTTTAAGAGACAGTTATTTATTGTAGTGAAAGCTAAACATTCATAAGCTTGGGGTACTGTAGAAAGAGAGTATAATGAAGTTAGAGATAGGTTCAGAATAGGTATATTTTAAACCAAGTATCAAAAGAGACAGCATCTGTTATTGGAGATAACTAAATCAGGAAGGAGAAAGATTAAGATCATATTTTGAAAGTTGTCTTGTGTTTTGGGGAAACTTCTTGAGAGGGAGAACTTATCTAATAATAATTTTCATTACAATATTATCAATAACTTACTTTTAAAATGTGAGTGAGGCTCTTGTGAATGACTCATTTATTGCAAGTATTTGAAACACAACATTGCAGCATGAAAAAATAATAATTAATTTTTTATTATTTCTGGCATGTGTTTTAATAGTATATGAAGTATATATAGTATATACACATATTGTGTATGACCCCAGTAAATTCCTTAATTTTCAGATAATATGAAAACTTGACTTTCAGTTCTCTTATCTGTCATCTATCATCCTCATGCGTAGTGTGACTGCTTTTCATGATTTATTGAAAGCATTATACTTAAGTTTAATATTTCAAGACTTTTATTTAGAAAGGCATTTTTCTTTGCTTCTGTTTTAAAACTAAAATACTCAAAGCAATATATTAAGATCTCTCTTCTGATCTTTTAAGTTTAAAATTTTAAAAATTAGTTTTGAGTTTATTTCGGGCTATTTTGTAACATTAAAGTATTTATCTCTTAAGATTCTTGAAGTGTTTTTTCCCCCCTCTTTTTCTTTTTAAAAAAGACTTTGGAATCTGTATCAAGAAAACTGAAAAATGTGTCTTCTCTTACTCATACACACAAAATACCTCTTCCTATTATAGTCACTAGAGGCCTGTTGCACAAAAAGATTCGTGCAATACACCTTCCCTCCCCCTGGCTGCCGGCACCCGGGACCCAGGCCTTCAATCCAGCCGGAGCCGCCTTCAGTCTTCGCTGCTCTGGCCAGAGCCGCCTTCATGCCCCTGCTGCTCTGGCAGGAGCTGCCTTCCAGCCCGCCAGCCCTGGGTCCCCTGTAGGAGGGCCGGATTAGGGAGGGGTGGGTGCCCAATCGCCTCAGTCCCTCCCGCCAGCCACAGGTCAGGTCGCACATACGATGCCCTGCCCGCTGCCCCGGGTTGCAGATAGCAGGCCCGGATGGCGGCAGGGCAGGTGGGATGGCGCTGTCCCACTGTGCCTGCAGTATACAAATTAGCTGCCGTCTTTGTTGGTGGTTAATTTGCGTATCTCGCTGATTAGCCAATGGGAGGCGTATCGAAGGTAGGGTCAATTACCCTGTATGTCTATTATTAGATTAGATACTTTATTTCAACATACTCTATTGGGACAACTAATTAGTCATGATGAAAAAAATATTCTATGGTTCTTTCTCTTTTTAATTCATACTATTCTTCTGAATAATCCATTGTCATCCATCCATCCATCCATTTGTTTTTTTTTCATTTGTTCATCTCCATTTATTCTTTTATTTGTTCATCAAATACATGTTAAATATCCACAACATTCAAGAGAATGAAGTGGTGTCTGGATGGATGAGAAGGTGCCATAAAATTGCCTACATGACAAGACTTATGACTCTGGGAGACAAAAGTAGAAAATGTTAATTTTCATAAGTAACATCATTAAGTAACACACTTTAGGAATTTGCAGATAACAAGGAAAATTTCCAACTCATAGGGATGTGGATTAAGTGCTTCAGAAATATTTTTCCAGTTAAGCTGACCTACTCAGTCCTTGGTGATTTTTCTTTTTTCTTTTTTTTTATGAAGTAACATATTTTACTCCTTAGCATTTAGTAAAATAAATATGATTGAAGGTAGATGTTCTCAACTCGAAATTACTAGTTTATGCTTAGATTTTCAAGATATGTCACATTGTTAATACTTTTATTTTTGTAGTTAAAACACAAATATTATTATATACTCATTAACGTGACAGAAAGTATGAAGAGCTATCTGCCCTCAAAAGCTCATGCTCTTTCCTTTTCTTACTGAAGAAAGCTTAGATGCAATGCTGCCATGTGTTTTGAGAAGTGCTTATTGTGATCTTTCCTAATTTTTGTTTAATATTATAAAACATTATTTTCAGAGTCAAAATCAATCAAGGCTTGAAGGACTTAAAAGATGTTGTTCCAGTAGGAGAGACATTCATCCATGAAGGACTAAAGAAAGTAAGTTTTTTAACATTTATGCATTCGGGAGAGAATGTTTTCTTATGCTGTGATGAAATAATTTATAGCTCTCTAGTCAAAATGAAAATCCTATTACATATCTACTTAGAAAAAAATCTAAATTCATTTAGTTGTTTTAGGAATGAGGCTGATAGAAAACATTACTTATCATGATAAGAAAAATTTGGATGGTATTTTGCCTTTTAAAATTATTTTATTTTATTTTCTCATTGGTAGTCAACCAAAGCTAAAACTCTATGTCATTTAAACCCAATAGTAACTACTCTATAAAGTAAATATATGTATATTTCAATAAAATAGTTAACACAAATACTGTATTTTAAAAGCCAGTCCATAAGATCTTGATTTTGTCACAATTATAAATTCAGTTTGAATAGAACATGCTGGTTCAAAGTTAAGATTAAATTGTGAGTTAGATAATTATTCTTCATTTTCAGGCAAATGAACAAATTGAGAAAGCAGGAGGCTTAAAAACCTCCAGTATCATAATTGCTCTGACAGATGGAAAGTTGGAAGGTCTGGTGCCATCATATGCAGAGAAAGAGGTGAGTATTGAACTGAAACTATTCTTTATACCCCAGTGTATTCATCAATAGCCTGATATTTGAGTAATTAACCTCTCTCTGTCTCTCTCTCTACCTCTGCCTCTATCTCTATTTCTCTCCATAGGCAAAATTAGCCAGGTCATTTGGGGCTAGAGTTTATTGTGTTGGTGTCCTTGACTTTGAACAAGGTCAGGTGAGTAGAGCAGATATGCAAACTTTAACCTAAATCATATAATTGTCTTAAGGCTAGTTTATTAAATTCCTTTCACTGATGCTAAAGATCTTCTATAAAAATGAGCATATTATTGTATGTCTTGATTAATAATGTATTATCTTAACAGGTTTTATTATTGAAAAACAAAATTCAAAATTTATTGAATGTTTTTTGGTTTGGAAGAACTCAGGACAAACATTTAGGTTAAAATAATATAAGTACTTCTGTTCTTTAACTCAACTGACAAGATTATTATGACAGTCTTATTTAAGTGGTTTATTTTGATTTAAAACTAGACCCTTAGGAGTTCAGGGATTTAGGAAGTTTACTTATGAGACATCTTTAATAATTTTCTTTAAAAAAACTTTTTTCATGAAGTTTTAAGATTTTATATATTTAAAATGTTTTTTGCACTCACAAAATGATTTTGCAATTAAATTTTTGGTTGAGCATGACTAATTAAGACTCCTGTCTCTGGTGACATTTACAGCTAGTAGAGTTCTGTACTGTTCTGAAACTGAAACTTGAGGCCAACGTAAAGCTGATCTCAGTTCATTTCATTGTGATGCATTTAGAGTATCCCTAGTGCAGTTTCTGACAGGCTATAGTAGGGGATAAATCTTGTGGTGTAATTCTTCAGAAGAACATAATTAAAATGTAATGAAGTTTATAAAGTGTTATATGTCTCAACCACCTCTTAATTAAATTTTTCTCCTCTTTCTAAAGCTCGAAAGAATTGCTGATTCCAAGGAACAAGTTTTTCCTGTCAAAGGTGGATTTCAAGCTCTTAAAGGAATAATTAATTCTGTGAGTATTTCTCTGGGGGCAGGAAAGGCTCATAATTTTAAATACATTTTAAACTGTAAGAAGTAATCCTGAGATCCAGTTCAGGTGGTCATTATCTTGAAGAAAGAGGTTAAGGAGGAAGGTTGTTCAGCATGGCAAGCACCATGTAATTCTGAAGATCTAGATTTTGTTTGTCAGATTTGGTATTAATTTTTGCAAATTGAGCTCTGTGAGATTGGGCTTGTGATTTCAAGTTTAAGATTTTCATAAACAATCTTAGACACTTCTACCCTTTGAGCATGGCGTTCCTCAGCATCTTGATAGCTGGAGAGTTTTATAGGCTTTATAGAAGCAATGTCAAATAAAAATTTGGATTGGAATGTGTGATTACCCTCTTCCCAATATGGTATTTCCTAGCTATCAGTCAGGCAACTTGAACCACCGGCTGAATATTTGACTGCTCTTGTTGTTCTTTCCATTTTAATGATTAATAGTTTCACTGGAACTCATAATATTTCTGTTTCAAATTCAGCAGAGCTGTCTCTGGTGATCATTAGAATCTGGGCTATCCTAAACAGGGTATGGGGAAGTGGAGTGATGAAATGCAAAGCAAAACTCCGGGACTTTCACAGCTGAGGTTTATGTTTCATTTTACTGCCTTTTGCTAGAAGCACTAGGAACAGTTGCTATTAAGTATTTATGATATTTTGGTAAACATCATCCTAAAATGGAAGTGAATCATAATATTCTCTAAGTCAAAGCTTTTCCTTTAGTCTCTAGGTGTTTATTGAAGGGGGAAATACTGTAGTTTCTTCTGACACTGGGCTCTGGCTTTTAAAATTTTTCTTTAAAGATCATGGTTTTCAGAAACAGAGTGATATTTATTGAATTTGGTTTTAGTAGCATGTAAGCTCTTTTTCCTATTTAATTAAGGGAGCTTTTCAGAGAAGACATGTGATTTGGCCTTATCACATATTAGTACTTCTAGTGGACAGGCAAAATGTAAATGCAGAATGGAACAGAGATTTAAATATTTTAGGAGTTTACATACATTAGTAGTTTTTATGAAAAATTGCAATATTTTTATAGCTGGATACAAGATAAATACTTTACAACTGTGATTTGCTTTAAAATATAGGAATATGGGTGGACATTGCAAAATAGAGGATAATTTGACCCAATAAATCAATCAACCCATGGATTGTATTTTAAAGAGAATTTTATGGTGCTTGGGAATTTATAATTATTTTAATAATTATACTGGCAGAGAGAAAAGACCTTACTGAGTTATACCCTTTGGAATATTTTTTCTCTATATGAAAAATTCAATTCAAAATTCTCCACATGACTAATTTCCTTTTCAAAACTCTTTATGGGTTATGATTACAGAGTTCTCCTTCAAGAAATTAATAGTTAACTACCAGAGGAGATAATATTGTTGTTATTGCTTTGTTATATTTATTTGTTAAATTTCATTTTTAAAAATTTGTATTAGGGAAACTTTAGAATGGAATTTCTAAATACAGTCTTTCTTTCCTGAAGTTCTTGATGGACTTTAGCTTGAGTAAATTGTGTTGAAAGACTTAGCATATGTTGGAGCAGATGTGGAGAAAAAGGAACCCTCATTCACTGCTGGTGAACAGACACTATGGAAAGCAGTATGGAGATGCCTCAAAAAAATTATGAATAGAGCCTCCATCTTACTTAGGAATCCTTCTTCTAGGTATCTACTTAAATAAGACAAATTATCTTCTCTGAAAGGTCTTGAAAATAATGATAAATTGAGTTTTGGAATATGGTGATCCCCTGCAAGAATTATGAAGTGTGGGGATTTGGAGGCGGGAAATTTCAGTGAGAAACCCTATGTGGTAAAAAAGAATCCTATAATGTTATTTATGTTAAAATGACAATATGAAGGATGGGTTAAGTTTGATATGTAAAGTCATGGAAGCTTTTTGTGGTAGGGATTGGATTGTGCTGTGATAATTGGAGTAGATTGAATTAGAAACAAAGAACATAGACTTTTAGGAACAGCTTGGGCTGAGTGGCTGAGGCACAGGAGGGAGTGTGGCTTGGCCTGGATCCTGAAGGGATATGGGGATAAACATTGACCTGTAGGCTGGGCCCAGATTATGGAGGCCTTCAGATGCTTGGATGGAGAATTTGCACTTATTTCATAAATAATTTTGGAATCATGAAAGATTAGGGTATGAAATGTATGTGATAGCAGTGAATGTTTAGAAATAATCCTTTTATGATAGTGTAGAGGATGATTTGGAAGATGGAAAGGTGTATTCTAAGTGTCTTGCAGTAATGTTTGTGAGACACGGCAAAAGGAAACTTAATACAGTGGAGACAATATGGTTGGGAATAGAATGACCTGACTGAGTTCCAACCATATCACTGCCCTGTGGCCTGTATATGTTCTCTAATGTAATCTGAGTTTTAAAATTCTCATCAGCCCAATAGGGATATTAATATCTGTTTCATTGGGCTGTTTTGTGAATTAAATAAGATGATGATTAAGAATGATCTAACTCAGAAGAGCTGGTAGGAAGCAAGGAATGGCGTGAAGCTGGGACTGTGTAGGAGAGGAGTCCCCTGAGAGAGATGCCAGCATTCTAAACAATCAACGATTTAGTCCTAAAAGGGCATAGCATTGATATGTGAGAGGATCAAATCTAGCAAGTGGGTCATAATAACAGAGTGCTAGATGATGTTGTTACCCATAGTCATGTATTTGGCCAGGCCTTAGTTCTAAATCCTTAAGCCACGGGACTAGGGAACCAATCAATAACTGGGGAAGGAGATTCAGTCTTCCCAAGACAAAAACTATGTGGAATTTCAGGACCCTGCATTCAGAAAAGAGCCACCATTCTCATGGGGGACCCTGTAGTTTAAATTAGTGATGCAGAGCAGAAACCTAGTTTTTAAGGAGAAAGCAGCATCCCTGATGGACCATACTTCCTCAGGGCTTATTTCAGGCACTGGGATGCTAGGTCTTTTGCAATAAAACTAGGTCAAGAACCTCAAGGGAAATGACTAATAGACTGTGCTCTGTCAGAATCTTATCAATAGACAGGGTCGGACTGAACTCTAGGTATGAAATGTTTTTCTTTCTGAGTCAGGCTCTGGAGGCTCTGGCAAATATTAGCTGGCAGCTGTTCATTGCTGTTGTTACTGTCATGGCAGTGAAGCTGGAAAGAAAAAGGTAAACTTGGTAAGCTTTAAAAAGTTAATAGGACTTGAGAGCTCACTGGATATACGATGAAAAGGACAGAGAGGGGCTCACATGCCCTCTTGGGCATTCTCCCCCTGACTAAGACGACCAACTAGAAACAGTGAGAATGAAAGCTCTTTTTACAAAGTGTTAGAAGACAAGGTGGAGTTGGGTAGGAGGGCAGAGAGAGGGAGAGATGTTGAATTGGGCCTCAGGAGAAATCCTAGAGAGAGATGTGAGATGTCCCTTCAGGAAGTGGAGGTCCAGTGAAATGTTCAAGTGGGAAAACTTCAGAATTTCAGTCATTGTTCCTCCTCTTGTTCTTTCCTCTCTCCCATTGCCCACAAACACAAGGTATAATTCTTCTATTTTCCACTGCAGGTTGTCATTAACATCTTAGAACATTTAACATTTATTTTTGGTTTCTTAGAAAAGTGAGTGCAGGACTTTTATTTAAAAGTGAAATATTTAAACTAGTATAAGTCAGACTGACATGTGAGTACCACGTGGTTTCTGGTTTGGTGTTTCATAATGCAGTGCTGTGGAAGAAAACATTAACACTTTTGAAAATCCAGGATTGCTGAAAAATATGGAAATAATAAAAATCAAAATGCTCTGTGGAAAACCCCCTTCCTCTTTATCCCCCTAAAAACAAGACCATGGGATATTTTTCTCTTTGCAATTAGTTCCATAATTTTTTTTGATAGACTACCTCAGAAAGTAGTAAACAGAAGAGATGAATCACTTGTGAAGCTGGTTGTATAAATAGCCCTCATCAGGAAGAATTAAGAGCTCTGTGTCCTGGGTGATGGCAGCTACTGTCCCAGTTCCTAAGTCCCTAATGGGAAAGTACAGGAAGGTAAATAGGAAGGGAACGATTGCTCACACGTGTAGAAAATTTAAATAAAACGGTAATGCATTCTTTATAAAGGGAAAAAAGTGCAACATACATTTAAAAAGTAACTTCATTCCTAGTGCTGAAAATAGAAGCTTCGTTGGACCTTTAGAGCTAAATTATTTCAGTAATGTCTATTATTGTTGTTAGGTGTTTTTGTTTTTTTCTTTAAAAGTATCTAAGAAAGGTGTCTAAACTGTGTTTTAGTGGAATGATACAACATTGCAAATTCATTTTCTCTTCAGGTAAAACATTCCCATAGAAGAGGGTGCATAATAAACATTCTGATAAGACCTTCGCTTAAGTGATTTTAGCAGGTTCTACTACGAATGTTGTCTGGTTAGTTGTGGAAATCTTTATTTATAAAATGATGGTTGGATAAAAAGCCTCAAGTCTGAGCTAAGTATAAAGATATAGTCACAGGGCAAAAAACAAAACTGGTAGGACTTACTCAAAATTAGAAATCAGTGTCTATGACTCTTTTAAAAAGGACTGGCTATAGTGTAAGGCTCGCTATAAATCAGATTCTTCTGGGCTTCTGTTCATCCAAGGAACTTCAGTACTGAATAGAGATGAGGAGTCTCATCAGGACATCTTTCACATTAATCGTAGGAAGGTTGGACTATATTTTCCTCCTCCTTTTTATGCCTAGTGTCTAATACAGCATTGAGTAAGCAGTCATTACTTAATTCAAATGTATAAATGAACAAGTCAATAAAATTTATGCCTCCTGAAATTATTTTTGTATTTTTATAACATAGTTATGGTGTATTTAAGCATTAAGAAAAGCAAAAACTTTTTCCCCCCAGAAAATGCTTAAATTTGTTGCCAGAAAATGCTTTATTCTGGTTCCATATAACTTAGATTTCATATATATATATATTAGAGGCCCGGTGCATAAAAATT